GGGGGGGGGGCGCAGAGCGCCTCTGGGCCATGGGAGGATCCCTCTCACACAGGAAGGGCTTCCTGACTTTTCGGCAATGCGACTCCTCTGAACCCTGGACCGGCAGAGGGAAGGTGGTCCCCTCACCCGCTCACCTCCTCCCTTCTTTTGCAAGTTGCCCCCCAGGTTTGGAAAGAAAAAGACAGAAGCTCTAAGGGTGCAGCTATCCAATGGCTTCTCCAGGAAGGAAAAAGCAGCTGCTGGGGTCTTCTGCCACGGTTTTCTTAATTACAAATAAATTATTTTGCAAGCCAAAGGCCAATATTTAGTTTTGAACAGGTGCTGAGGTTGTAATGTTTGTGAATTCTTTCATTCTTGTTCCAAACAAGAAGAGGCCCATTAACAGTGACTTCAGGGTTTCTTAAAAATGTCTTCCAGTTTCGGCTGCTACTATTTGAAGCACAATTGTTCTAATAGGAATGAAAGAGACATTAAAAGGTGGAATATGTCTTGAAATCTCGGCTCATCCCAGGATAGGTTTACTGAACGGGAACAAAGGTCCACTTTTGCAATTAAGTTTTTTTGTGTGTGTCCTGGGTATCGAACTCAGGACCTTGCTCTTGTGAGCTAGGTGGTAGAACCACTGAGCTAATCCCTGGCCCTGCAATTAACTTTTTTTGTTTTGTTTTGTTTTTGTACCAGGTATCAAACTTGGGTCCTTGCACTTGCGAGACAGACGACAGAACCACTGAGCTAAATCCTCAGCCCTGCAATTAACTTTTGATATCATAAAGAAGCATAAAATGAGATGTCAAGGCCTTCAGTTTCTGTACATGTGTACAATTTTGGATGAAAAAGAATTTTCTTTCTCTTGGAGAAGTTGTTGATTTCCATTTCAGAAGTCTTTGGATGGACTGGATTTAACTTAATGGTTCCAGCACCTGCCAGGCAAGTGCAAGGACGCAAGTTCAATCTCCGGTACAAAAACAAAACAAAACAAAAAAACAAAAAACAAAACCAACAACAAGAAGTCTTTGGACATTTGATATTTAATTTTTTTTTTTCATTTAGAAGGACCAGCTCGTGTAGTAGCCAAGCCTGGCAATGCATTTCCACCCAGTTAGAGTGTGGCTAACAGAAACAGCAAAGCTTTTAGTCCAATAATGG